CTCTTGTGCTCTCTCTCAGATAAATAAATAAAATCTTTAAAAAATAAATAAATAAATAAAAATGGTTGATGGATGTTTTTGGCATGTGTCTTTTTTTTTTTTTAATTTCTTTTCTGCCTGGCACAACACATTGTTCCAGGCTTATCTTGTACTCTCTTTGTCCTACTCCTAGAATCAGCCACTTTTACAAGAAACCCTGGTCACTTTTAGTAAGGAACAGAATTAGAAACCAAGACATGGTTGCCAGCCGTGTATGCTCTTTGCTGTTGAAGTGTTGGAGCACCCAAGTCCTCTCAGTGGATAGAGCTAGCTCAGAAATAGTTTTCTTTTCTTTTTATTTTTAATTTCAAGTTTTTATTTAAATTTTAGTTAGTTACCACATACAATAAAATTGGTTTCAGGTGTAGCATTTAGCGACTCATCACTTACATATACAGAAATTGTTTTCTGAGTAAGATTCCTGACAACAAGAAGTTCCTTGTAGAAATGGCTGAATACACACAAACACACACCTTAATTTATTTTCTTCTTTCTATATCTATCTACATACATTAAAACCAGATTTAACACCAGTAACTCCAATACCCAACCATTACCCCAGGGTCATTCTAGTTTTTGTATTTTTATATAATCACGGATGTTACTTACCCATACGTTTGTAGCAATGAATCATCCATCACTGCCCCCACCACTTTACTTGGACCCCTCCTTACACTGATTAGGTTCCGACATTCTTCTCCGGTTTGCTGTTTCTGTCTTGGCACATGCAAATCCTTCTCACCTGCCTAGACTCTAACAACTCACACTAGATCATTGAACCCCCCTCTAGTCTATTAACTCTGCTGAGGGTCTGACCCCTTATGGTAGGCTTCTGTGCCCCCACCTGCATACAGATGTCTCCTTCGCTCAGATGTAAGACTTAATTATAAAGGAGGTAAAAAAGGAAGAAAAGAAGGAGGGAAAAGGAAAAGGAAAAAGAGATTTTTGAAATAAAGGAAGTTAAGAGAAAAAAACTTGTAACTACATGTAGTGATGGATGGTAACTAGACTGAGAGTGGTGATTGTTTCACAATGTATACAAATACCAAATCATTGTGTTGTACATCGGATACTAATGTAATGTTACATGACAATGACATCTCAATTAAAAAAAAAACACGAAAAAAAAAAGGTAGCTTTTTCCTGTATTTTTCTCTGAATATATAGCACATAATTTCATATGCAATTGTCGCTGTTTTAATGTATTGCCCTTTTAAGTCAAAGTAATCTGCTACAGTATAAAATACCACATGCTGGGGCGCCTTGGTGGCTCATTTGTTCAGCGTCTGCCTTCTGCTCAGGTCATGATCCCAGGACCCTGGGATTGAGCCCCACATTGCACTCACTGCTCAGCGGGAAGCCTGCTTCTCCCTCTCCCACTCCCCCCTGCTTGTGTTCCCTCTCTCGCTGTGTCTCTCTCTGTCTAATAAAAAAAATCTTAAAAACAATAAAATACCACATGCCAAATGATCTGGACCTTTTACTAGGTCGGATAGGCCAATGAGATATTGAGCTGTGATATTGACATCTGTTTTGAAATATTTAAATTTCTACATAACATTTTATTTAAAATCACCTTGCACTTTCATTGTTCAAATTCTTCAGGAAAGACTAAATTTTGTAAGCATTAAATAAAGAGTTCCCATCAAAGGAATAATGTTTATAAATGCTGATGTTTAAACGTATGTTTCCCATCTAAGGCTCAGGGTCTAATTTATTTTTATATCTCTGTTACAATTTCAGTTGAACCTACCTCTTCTGAAACAAATTTCAGGTATGCATTTGTCACAAAATTTTGAAATATTAGAAAAGTTGCAGTATTCAAGAAATATTTCCAATAACATTTTAGCTGTTAGCTTGAGTGAACATTTTCTATTTTTTTTTTTATGGTTAGGTTGAGGGAAACTCATTAACTTAATATCTTCATTAGAAGGATAGGTATCAAACATATTTTTCAATGAAAAATGTTATAGTAAGAAATGTGAGCTATGCAGGAATACAGACATTAAATATTTCCTGAGAATTTCTTTTTTTAAGATTTTTTATTTATTTATTTGACAGAGAGAGAGAGAGAGACAGCAAGAGAGGGAATACACACAGGGGGGAGTAGGAGAGGGACTAGCAGGTTTCCGGCGGAGCAGGGAGCCCGATGCGGGGCTCGATCCCAGGACCCTGGGATCATGACCTGAGCTGAAGGCAGATGCTTAACGATTGAGCCACCCAGGTGCCCCATTTCCTGAGAATTTAATAAGATATCAAAATCTCATGAATATAATATTCTATTTTTCATATTTTTTCTAGAATTACAAGCACATGAAAATTTTTTAAAAATCTGGTCATTAATAAGTTTACCTAATAGACACACACTTACATCATTTGTAAGAAAGTAATGTAAAATATATATTAGTATTAATATAATTGCATATACATATATTGGTCACATATTTAGTTATTATTTATAAAAAAAGTTCATACTAATTACAAGAAAATTTGCCTAATTTCCTGAGGCTTGGAATTAATGTAAGTAATGAATGCTTCTGATCAGTACAGATCATGCTCACTTCAATTTATTATCCATGAATTTTGGTATGACTCAGCACATTTCATTTTCCTAGAATTTAATTGCTTATGTAATGGTTTATTCATATGCCTAAATGTGGATAGTCTACTTCCTATGATTTTCATTGAGATTAATTTTCTAAAGAACTCATGGTAGGTGATATTCATTATTTTCTTTCTTCCTTAATCCCTCCCTCCTTCCTTTTCTCCCTAAATTCCCTCTAATCTCAATACTTTCCTTCCTCCTTTCTTCCCTAAAGCCCTTTCGCACAATCCCTTCTCTGGTGTAGCACAACCTGAAGTGGAGAGAAACAGATTTCAGGTACATAATAATTTGAGTATTATTAGCCTTGTAAACTTTTAAATTTCCCTTTGGTCTTTACAACTAATGACATGGTTTACATATTAATACAAGTAAATATATTTTGTAACTTAATATAAAATTATAGTTATATACTAGAACTCTACTTAGAAAACATTTAAAAATATTTTCATGGAAGCTACTTATTCTATTAAAACATAACATTACAATAATTTTCTGATATTTCTCTACCTAGTCCTAAAAGGCAATGAATCATGTTTTTGTATCTTCTGACCTATGCAAAATATACTACAATGTATATTTTCAGACTTCCAATTGGTCTTGTAAAAACATAATGCAAATTCTAGAAATATATATGTGTGTGTTATATATAACTTTATGTAACTAAAAACATAACTGGATTTCTAGTTAAAATGAATGTATCTACATGTTACTATTTTGATATCTTTAAGCTTTTGGGGAACAACTAGAATGCTTTCATACACAAAATGCAACAGCCTTCAGTGCAAGTTTTATAACTCTAAATTTTCTATTTACCTTAAAAATAAGCTTATTATTTGTACTTTCAAGTTTAGGATTTTAAAATAGATTAATTTTAGTTTATTTTCTCTCAAGATGTCTTTTTAATTTTTTGATAGGATTCTTACTTAGCATAAAATATAATTTGCTTTCTTAAGATATACCTCTTCTACTTCTTTTATAGATAGCTCACTTGTAAAGTTGGGGGATTAGAATCAGGGTTTAAATCAATCCTGATCATTAAATATATTCTAAGTCCTCACTATCTATCTGTCAGATGCAACTGTTCTAAATTTTTAAGCACTGGTTCATTCTTCCTAATAATAACCTGTATCATGATTTATTAAAATGTAAAGCTATTTGCTTATAGATATATTTTATGAGATCTTATAAATTATTGTGCTATACTTACCAGCCAAAGCAAGAATATATTCTTGAAATCTTGTTCCTATACGGTTAGTAGCTGTGCAATTATATCGTCCAAAGTCATTGTCAGATGTAGGTGCTATCTAAAATAATCATAATAATAAAAGTTTAACAATTTTAAAACAATATATGGAAGTTTTAAAATAGACTCTAGTATTCCTACCAACTTCACCCATGTTCAATTATTCACAGCTTCTTGCCATACTCTTTTTTTTTTTCTGTATCAAGTAAGCATCACACCCTTTTAAAATGTAATACACGAACCTATATTTCCACAGCACTAGGCAAGGTATAGCTTAACTATTAATTTATGCGATAGACAAATGCCACCATTTTATTATATCTATTGAATAGCAAAATCATTAGATATTTGGTATGTAAAGCTCATAAAGTAGTACACAGTTGGAAAAATATATATTCTGCAATTGCTGCAGACATGAACTTTTTAGCCTAAAGTCAAGCAGATTTAAAGTACACGACAGGCTGGAAATACATTAGTTTTTTTTGCCCCTCTCATGATTTTATTGAATATAAAATATTAATGAAGGATGAAGACTCATTCTAAAAAAAAAAAAAAAAAACTTCCCATTTTGCAAGAAATTGTTCCTTGTGTAGCAATCCCTGTAGACAGGCACATTATCTTCATGGCTAATAATACTATCTTGCCTCCGTTTCTGTTCAATTTCTATCATTCTTTTTCAGTTTAGGTGGAAAATAGCTGACCTCAGCCCTTACGCATTTGAAATCCGTAATTAAGTTAACCTTTCAGAAATCTACTGCTGAATGTTGGGGCCAACTCTGTAATTCTAATGTACCGAAATTCTGAAGCATCAATGCAGGAAAGAGATTTGATGATAGTAATAGATACAATTTTGAATCCCAGTAACTATTACTAAGAGAGAATATGCTTACAACAAGAGTTGCTGTTAATTTCAACTCTATCCCAAAAGGGGGGAAAATGATTTCGTGGTAATGGAGGCTATTAACTAAAAGTACAATTTTGAGGTCCATTGAAGATGGTAATTCTGAAAAAGTACAAAAAAGCTGTGTCACTCATTCTCTGGTTAGCTGTCTATCTAGGAATAGATCATAAGTTTAAGAATTAGAAGCTTTAACCATTCTTATGTAAGTACTCCTGAGTGATTAAAACATTCATTTTTCTCACATTCAGCTTTTAATAAACCAGGGTAATTTAACTTGAAAATAATTTTATTAGTGAGAAAGGAATCTGCCCCCAAAATTTCTACATTTTACAGGCATAGGAGAGTAATTTGTATAGTCCATAGATAACAATGTGCACTGAATTGATAAAAGAATGTATTTATATTAACATATTTATATATATATTCTAAAAGAGTAGGCAACTGCTCAAATAGTACTACTTATTCATATGTACATGAAGACTTACCTCTAATATCATCTTTCTCCCTGCACTATACGTCTTTAAATTAGTGGTGTTTTTTGCTGGCAGGACTAATTTCTCTCTTCTCCAATGGACTGATGCTGGTGGATTAGATTTCACATCACAGCTTATATTGATCGGGTTTCCTTCCCAAGAATAATAAATTGTTTGGTTTGATATAAACTTTGGAGCATCTGTAAAGCAAAATAACATAACGTTTATGGACCTTTACTTTAAGATAAATAATCACTTGATTAGCATAAACAATAGTAATAACTGCTTGACTACAAAAAGAAGCCACAGCAATTCTAACTTCATATATTTAATATGTGACATCAGAACTCATGAAAATATGTCATTTGACTGTTTCACCAAATAATCTTAAAATTATTATACAAATATTTGAAATTGATCAATTATTAAAATAGGAAACATTAATGCTCAGAGTTAAGTTTGCTTTTAATAATCTGACAAAAAATTATCTATTCAATTAATTAATAGCTATCTACATATGTGAAATCTGTTTCTGGAACAAACCTCATTATAAAGTGTGAGTTTAGGATAACAAAATCAGTGGTCTTGTGTCATTTTTAAATCCTGTCTTACTCATATAATCTCTTCTATCAGATATTTTGAAACAGATATAAAATCTAAGTTGAAATGTCAATATCACAATTAAGAATTTTTTTCCTGAACTATCATTTCTAGTTTTAATTAAACCAGAGATGCTTTAATTTAATCCACAAAGTTGACTTGAAAATTAATCAGTTCCTATGAAGCTCTGTCAATTCTCCAGACCCTACATCAGACCACTATAAAAATAGTTAAGAAAAAGCAGACAATATTATTATATTATTTTATTGAAATAATCTAATTGTGAAGACACACAAAATGGTTTTTAGTCTTGCTCCATTCTAGAACTATGATGTAGCACAAATGCCAATCAATCATAACCTCTTTGAGTCTCAATATCTTGACTGTATAACTATTTGAAAGAATTCATCTTTAAAATTTTTACATAAAAGCAAAGTCCTTATATTAAGTGGTAACTAAAATGTTGCTGGTATTTATATTATTATTGTTACAAATATTAACCATTTAAAAATATCACTTCATTAATTATCGACTTCAGTAATCTAACTTACATGCTTTGTTTTACTACCTAATTACTTAAAAATGAGCTACACCAATTTTGTTTATCAAGGGATTTTATATAAGATACATAAGAATTATAATCTGTAGTACAAATGCACAAGTAATTGAAAAATTCTTGTCCTATATTTGTTTTAGTGTATGTTTATATTGCCAATCTCACACAGAGGTATGAAATATTAATTGAGTTTTTTCTATGTAAGACAATAAGATTATACATTTTATTCTATCTTATCTTTTCAATAACCTTGTGAGGAAGGTGTTATCCTGTTGTAAGCACGAAGGATCTGGATTAAGAGCTGTCAAGCTTATTCTAGCACTAAGTTGTAGGTCTGGGATGTGAATTTGCGTTGATTTTAACCAGAGACCATTCATTATATATCCATTCAACCCAGGAACAAAATTATATTATTCAGTGCTAGCAACATTTTGGTGATGTGGATCCTATCATACATTATTGAAGTGAACACAATTTGAACAATTCTTCAGGAAGATAAAGAATCTTAAAAAGCTTTATAATTTTGATTCTGCAATCCAGTCTTAGGTATCTTTCCAGAGAAAAGAGGTAGAAATATTAAAAAGTTATGTAAAGGACTTTTAATGCATTGCTATCTTTAAAAAAAAAAGATTTTATTTATTCATTTGAGAGAGAGAGACAGAGAGAGCACAAGCAAGGGGAGAGGCAGAGGGAGAGAGGGAAGCATGCTCCCTGCTGACCAGGGAGCTAGATGCGGGGCTCCATCCCAGGACCTGGAGATCATGACCTGGGCCGAAGGCAGACGCCCAAACATCTGAGCCACCAGGGCGCCCCTTAATGCATTGCTATCTTAACAAAAACTCAGAAGAACTTAACGTCCCCCAAAAGAGAACTGTCTAAATAAGTAATAACACATCTTGGCACTTAGGTGTGCTAAATATCACACAGACATATCTGCCTATGGTTTTCTCTCAGCTTGCAATGTGCCGTCCTTCCTTTCATCTGGCTGCCTTCAAAACTGAGCCCCACACTTCTTAAATACAGCCTTTCCATGACCTTCAGCTGTGGGTGAGCTTCTGTACTTTGTGCAGAATGCCACAGATGTTATGTTTTCCCTCAGCATGGTAATAGGCAGTGGAAGGATCTATGTCATTGTTTCTCCCCCAAATGATCTGAGTCTCATGAGTTAAGATATGGTCACAATTATATATGTGATACCTTACATTGTGTATAATGCTTACTTGGTTCTCAAAAACTGTACATCAAATTCACTTGAAATTAAGCAGTCAATGAATTTTCAATTCAACAGTTCAGTTAAATTGAACGGAAGGTATTTTCAAGGAGAAAAGAAAAGAAAAAAAAAAAAACTATTTCAAGGCCTGGGAAGATTAAGTGAAAAATCTAAGGATGTGTTAGGGGTGCAACTCTAAGAGAAACCAAACTTCCTGATATTCAGAGTCAAAAGCTAAGGTTATATCTATATCTCTAGCTCTATCTATAAAATATTTTATTACTCTTAATAAATATGAAATATAATCTCTTTAATATTATAATATTCTAAGGAAATAATTTATTTGCATATAAATGTAGCCCAATATGAAAGTCATACATGCTAATGGAACTGTTAGTAGCTGGCTCACAGTCCACTCTGTCCATCATGTGACATCTGCGTGAATATGTGTTATAGCGTTATAATTTAACCATAAACTTAGGGCAAGATTTGATTTTTCTACAAAAGCAAGTAATTTCTGCTAATTGTTTGCCTGATGATCTCAGTAGGAATTTAATTTGGAATCACTGATGTTGAATGCACACATGCTTACAGGCAATGCATGCCATTGTGAAAGCCACATTAAAAAAAAAAATGTATTTGTGGTGTGAGGCAAGAAAATATTGATAACTTCCATCTACAGTAAAACATAAAGTAAATTCCTCTACAGTATATGCTTTGTAGATACCATACCAATACCAAGGCAGCAATGTTCACTGGCACAAGATTGGCATGTTAATAAAATCCAGCAATTAGTGTTGGGTCACTGGTTGAAGAGGGATGTGACTCTGCTACCGACAACATGTGAAAACTTCAGGCTAAAAACCAGTAGCCATATTTCATGTTGATAAATCAAAAATAGTAATTTTCAGAGCAACAGCCTTTTAAAAAAGTAGGCCTTTCACATCACGAAAGGCTTCAAATATTGTGCAGAGGAAATAAACTTTGGCAGTTAACCAAACAGCAGGGGGAAGGAGGAGAGAGGAAGATGGCATAAACAGGACATAAAGTAGTAGAAATGTCTCTCAAGGCATTGCATGTCCCCCAAGTCCCATTCAAGTCCAAAATAAAATATTCTACAAATTTCAATGAGCAGAAATAACTTTATTGGAAGAACATTTTATCTGAGCCAAGTAGAGGAAAATATCAGAGAAACCTGTCTAGTGACAAGATGAAATATGTCATTCACTCGATGGAAGAGGAGAGGAGCCCTTTCAGAAAGCTTCTGGTCACAATGAGAACCAAGGAGAGTGGCAACAATGCCCTCCTTGACAAAACTTTTGTCAGGCTTCTATAAGCCTTTCTCTAAGCACTTGGCTTTGTCCTTAGGCCCTTCCCTGCTCTGCTTCTTCCTTTAGTAAAGACTCTTGCTAAGTCGGTTTAGTGGGAATTGTTCCATTGATATCCGAGTATCTTTGAAATCTGATCAAGTCCTTTATTACCCACCCTTAATGCCCATGTCCGTGGCCTGCTTTTAGCAAGAATTCTGTCAGGCTCGTTTAGCAAGAAGCACATTATAGTTGAAATGTAATAAAGTTTCTCTTAGTAATTTTCCATCCACTGGCTTCTATCATTCTGCTCATTGGCTTTAAGTCCCCACTTTGTGCTTGTTGTAGTCAGAATTGAGTTCAATCTCTCTCTCCTATTGTAACAGTCTTGACCCCCACTGCAATAGATTTGAATAAAGTCCTCCTTACCATTTTTAAATGTCAGCATAATTTCTCTTTGACAAAAGATAGAGTACACTCCCCAAAAAAGGTAACTAAAGAAAAACGTGTTTCCTTTTGTTTAAGAGAAAAGAAAAAAAACCAAAAAAAAAAAACAACAAAGATCTGAATCAAATGACTGTGTTAAGAATATTAAATTATTTTCTATATTTTGTATAGTTGAAGTTGTTAGAATTAAACAATTTTTACTTATTTATTTATTTTTCAAACAACTTTTAAAAATCAATCACACGATAAAGAAATTTACCCCAATCAGACTTTCAGACAGGGAGATATGAAAAATTTATATCCAACTGTGTGTGAATTCACCAAGTTCTCATTATGTGAAGAGATCTTTGTATTTATTGTATTTACCTATGAAAAAGTTAAACTTGTAATACTTTCTGCACATGGTCATTTCAAGTTCTGCAGAACTGGACAGATCTCATAGCATCTAATATATGAAAAGGGACATGAGAGTCATCTATAAAGCTTTGTTCTACATACAAGAAACCTGATTCTGGGATATTTGGGAAGGTGGTGGCAGAGACAACCCATAGTCTTTTGGCTCTTTATGATTGTGTTATGAAACCATACCACTGTGTCAGTTACTCTATTAATAACTAAGTACATTTTCAGAGAGTGGTTTCTGTAGATCGTTAATAGTGAAATTAGTGTTTGAAGTGATTATACCAAGTAATCAAGGAAGTATTTTATTAGTCCTATATGCTGTATTCAAGCAATAAAGGAAACATGTAATACAGTTTAGAAAAAATTTTGATTGAAACCAGTGCACATTTGCACATTCACTTATTTCTAGGTGATGCCAATAAAATGAGATAATTAAAATCATGGCCACTTTTCCAATTTCTCTGCTGATGTATGAGAAGCTAAGATGTAAGAAGAAATGTACTCTGGGGCATGCCAGCTATTTTCTGCACTAAGGGTTTAACGGTTAGAATCATATTTTAGCAATATATCCTTGAATAAAAGGTGCTTAGACAAAAACGCAGGATAGTTAACCTTACATTAAGAATTGAAAAATAACACGGGGGCGCCTGGGTGGTTCAGTCGGTTAAGCGTCTGCCT